CACTGGGCACATTTGTTACAAAGCCTTTTTTGCTTTGGAGCTGCAGGCAATGGAGCAAGGCTAGTGGATCTAGGTAGAGACTTGCTAAATTAGATCTGGCCTAAAGACAGACCTGCTGTACCATACGGTCGCCTTCATTATAGACAGGAGCCCGTGACCTGCTTTAAGGACATTTACTCTTCCCGTTCAGAGCATCTTCTATTGCACATTATCCCCTGTGATATAAAGACCCCAATGCTAGTTTATAAAGCATTAGATTATTAATATTGGTTACAAGCGTGTTCAAGACATGAGCTGTGTATTATAGATGGTTATAAGCCTGTCAGCAAGTGTCAAGTTATGTTTGTAAGCAAACTATTCATCTGCTGGACTCTAGAGCAGGGATGGGGAACTGACCCACAGAAAAATCAGTTGGAGGCTGCACAGAAGTGAGAAGAAGAGGAATAAAACCCGACTGAGAAGCAGAAAGACATTCGCCACTTTCTCCTTGCACTCCTGAGCATATGGGAGCCTAGGTTAGTGGGGTTTTATGGCCCCCCTACACTCTGGGGTGGGGCCAAAAATGAAGGGGTTCAGTGTATGGGGGGGGCTGCCAAGAAGCAGGATTGGAGTGAGGGGTTTGGGCAGGAGGGAGGGGGCAGGAGTGCGTTGGAGGTTGGTGGGTCTAGGTGGGAGACAAGGTGCAGGAGCGGAGTGGGTTACGGGGACTGGGCAGGCTGCAGGACTGGAGCACCAGCCTGGCTTCCCGATGCTGGGAGAGCCCCAAGCCTTGGGGGCCAGATCCAGGCAAGCTGGGGGCCAGATGCAGCCCTTGGGCTGTAGGTTCCCCACCCCTGTGAGTCTAATATAATATAGAACAATTGAACAACTATTTATTAAAACAGGCATCAATCAGTTGTTAATCCTTTGTAACTATTAATAGGCCATTGCTATAAGGTCTGACTGCTGGTGTTTGCAGCAGCATGTGCAGAACTGGGTAAAGTGTTCATGAAGTCAAGGAGCTTTTGACAAGGCGTTTAGAGTGGCCGATCGGAGGGGTTTCAGGTATCTGGTGAATGGGAAGTTTTCTTGGCCCTCTGGCATACAACTGCTATGCTGTTTGGGGGCTGCAGGGGCAGAATTTAAGCTTTAATTAAAAAAAACAATCGAGGCACTTTGGAAATTCTTCTGGACAGGTATCTTTGCAACCTATCAGAAGGGAGGCTGTGTTAGTCTGTATCTGCATAAACGAGGAGTCCTGTGGCACCTTAAAAGTAACAGATTTATTTGGGCATCAGGTTTCATGGGCAAAGACCCATTTTGTCAGCTATATCTGATGAAGTGGGTTTTTGTCCGCAAAATCTTATGCCCAAATAAATCTGTTAGTCTTTAAGGTGCTACAAGACTTCTGGTTGTTTTTACAACTAATGTAACCCACGCAGTGCTGTTGTCCTGACAGGTAGTCAAGTTACTCAGGACTTTGCTAAGTAGCAGTACGGTGAAGTGAACAAGACGTTACTGAGTTTTGCTTTGCCTGCAGCAGAGAAACGGGGGTAAATCTCAGTTTCACTCGGTTGGTACAGGGCGTCCCGCTATCAGTCGCCCCGGTATTCATCCGTTCTGCACTAAAGTCATTGATGTTTGTAGGAACTGATGCATTATAAGTCCTCTTAAGTTGTGCCCCCCCCCCCCCAAAAGTGCAAATGGAAGTCAGTTGCAGGAAAAAAATTCCCCACTTTAAGCTGTTTTGCTATAAGTCCAAGTTTTTTGGAACGTATCTTGGACTTACAGCAAGGACAGCCTGTATGTAGAAAAGCTCTGGACAGCAGCGTAACTTCTCTTGGGGCAAAAAGTCAAAACAACCAATCAAATAAACAAACAAGCAAAACCTCTCTCCCATCTCCTCTGCAAAAAAAGTAATTAACCAGAGGCTGCAGGAGTGCAAAGAGAAGCGGAGGCTTTTCCCTTCCTAAATGTAAGTCAGGAGTTCCTGGTGTTCAGAGGGAAAAGGCTATTTCTCCCTCCAAGTGCCCACAAGAGCATGGAAGTGCTGGTTTTAAGTTAGTCTCCCATTTACTTGCCAAAGGCTGATATGCGCAATGAGGCCCCCAAGCAGAGTCCAGGGACTGCGTCCTGGTAGGAATCCTAAGAGCTGAGGGTTGGCAGGGAGCTCGAGGACTTAGCTGATCATTCCCTTGGTCATCAAGTAGGGAGGTAAACATTATGTTTAACTGGCGGCAGGTTGCTCTGGCCAGGCCAGGCCAGGCTAGGGGCTGGTTCAGCTGCGCCAGGGACCTGCTGCGGGCAAGGGGCTGCTCCAGTCCTTCTGTGCTACTGGTTAACCATTGACATCTCTATCATTAAGGTGAGGGACCTTCAGTTTTCATATCTGCCTCATGCTAAGAGGCTGAGTCCTTTGGCCAGTAGATTTGTGGTACCTTTTCAAGCCCTTCATTGGATTTTGGGGGGGGGGGGAAATGGGTGGTCCAGGCAAATTCTTATTGACTTCCCAGAGCATCGGCTGTCTGTACTGAGCCAACTGTCTTTGGGACAGGGTTACAAACACCGCTTGCCTTTGCCTCTCTGCCAGCTCTCCTCAGCTTTCTCCTTTTCCCACTCAGCCTCAATGTTATGATGGTGAAGAAACTAGTAGCAAGGTCTGAAGCGAAGGAAATTCCACTATTGTCCTTTGCTCCAATTCAGAGTTACAGATGAATGCAGACACAGCACGCTTAAAACTGTTTTGTGTTTTAGTGACTAATGGTCGCGAAAGGTGACAGCTTGACGGTCCAGAAGACTAAAGTCCTTTGTCACTAGAACAGGTACATTAGACAGCAGCAGTATAGACCTTGCTTGCTCTTCTGTTGTCTCAGCATTGCTGCAGAAGGTGCAAGCACGTGAACCTGTTGGGCTGTTAGTTCTTGCGTGTCAACACCTGTTCGTGAGGACCTCCCAGGTTGCTTTTCACAGGGCCACAGCATATCCTCTTGATGTTGAAGTCTTTAATAAGCAGATGGTCATGTGATTCAAATTATTTTACTGCATTGGGTGCTGCAAAAGCATAAAGAAAGTCCCTTTTCTGGAGAGCCTACTCTTAAAACTCATCCTTTTTTACATTATATCAAGAGCTCTGTACAACGGTTTTAAAAACAGCCTTTAAAAAAAGGAAGTACAGTAAAAACACTACTCAAGGTCAGTTGGAGAAGTACCAAGCTCCAAATGAGTCACCCTGGCAGAGAAAAAAAAGCATCGCAAACAGAAAACAGCAGAAAAACAGGGGCTCTGTGTTTGAGAAACACTTTACTATAGGGAACTCCCCCCAAACACAATCTGACTGTTTACTTACGGTCAATCAGTTTCCCTGGAATGCTTCAGATCAGCTAATAAACCAACTCCTCTTATACTAACACCAGGTCTTTTTGGCCTTAAATCACCAATGACTCAGATCAGCCTACCTGAAACAGCCAAGTGAATGGCTGAATCATGGACACCTAGTACCTAGTGGCAAAGTTGAGATAAGAGCCTTACTTTATCCATTTTTTTCCTGCCAAACCCTAACAGTTGGAGCATTACACTTCTCTTTCTCTGAAACCCTATAAATGCAGAGTACTGGGAGCAAGATCACAATACGTTAAGTGACGTCTTAT